CTCTGGAAGGAGCCTGCAGATGGCCACCTGTTGGACATGCGCTCCTTCTCCCCTCCCCCAGCCTCCCTCCACTTAAACTCTGTTTTTCTAGAGCAGACGTTGCCTGAATCGCGATCGGGCATCTTCCTGGCAGAAATGCAGACAAGGGCAGGAAGGTTTCCAAGGAACCAGACCTCAGCCCGGCAGAAACCTGCGGAAGGACCCGAGAGTGAGGGAAGGAGGCAGATGGCCCAAGATGGAGGGCCGGGAACCCTTCCGCATCTCACTGCGGGAACAAACTGGTGGCAGCTGAATCCAGTTATCAGATGATAAGTGGAGTGTGCCGCAGCTCAGCCCTCAGCTCAACTCCACTCCGCGCTCACGAACCTACTAGATAAAGACGCCTCCGTTCAGATAACTGCAAATTGCTTTTGGAACCTTCATTTCCTATTAGTTCATTAATCTGTCTATTCAAAACTCCAACAAGACAGCTGATGATCATTCCGGAGGAAGTGGGCACTGAACCGAAGCGGAAGGGAAGGGGGTTTAGAGGAGAAGTTGTTTCTGGCTTCCTGGGTGGAGGGGAACCCCAAGTTCATTCATCAAGTTGGCGAGGGTGTTAGATCTCATTAATTAAGCACTTACTACGGGTCAGATGGTAGGATGAGCATTTTTCTGAGCAATTCTCTTACCTGGTGTTTTGTTTTGTTTTTTAAGCAGTCGAGGTTGGGACATATTATCATCTTTATCTCCACTTTACCGAAAAAGAAACTGAGGTTCAGAGAGGATCACACAACCAGTTGGTGGCAGAGCCAGGATTCCAATATGAGAATATCTGCCATCCATCCAGTTTCCTAATCATATATTATCTTTTTGACTCATCACACAAATATTTATTGGATGCATTTCTTGGATAAACAAGACCCACATAAATAGGGTAAGATTTAGGGACATAAGAAGAGCAGAACTTGAAAAGGAATCGTCAAAAGACTGTCGGTGCTTACAAAAGCCCCTCACATTATGAAACGTTCAGCTGGACAATAATGTTTGATTTTGTTTCCTAAACTACTACCTCTCTGTAGAGCAGTGGTTCTCAAAGCGGGGTCTCGGGGCCAACACATCAACATCTCTGGGGAGCTGGTTAGAAGTGTACCTCTGTCCCCAGCATCTCCCAGAGAGTCTGGATGTGAGGCCCTGGGGTGGGGCTCAGGACTCCGTGTTTTAACAACCCTCTGGGGCACTCTGATGCCTGCTTCACTTCAGGGCCCATGATCTAGAAAAAGAAAAGGAGCTCAGAAAGGGGACATGAGACCCGACTCACACTGCCCGGGCCCAGGACCCATCATCTGATGCAGGCCAGGGGCGGGGCCTGAGGAGGTGCATCCGTAACCAAGGTGATGCTGCTGATGCTGGTCTGGGTACCACCCCCAGAACAGCAGGCTCTGAGCCAAACCCTGTGGCCCCGGGAGTTTCTGGCACTCACAGGATGAGGATTGCTCTGGATTAAAAAAAAAAAAAGAAAGAAAATCTTTCCCTTCAGGGAAGATTCAAATCCATGCCTCTGGGCTCTCTAGGAGGTCAAGAAACCACCTGGAACACACTCCTGTTTTTCCAGAGTTCTCATTGGGTAGGAGACCTTCCTTGACCTCCTTAATCAAAATTGTAGCCCCCACCCTGGCCCTTCCTATTTCCCGTCTCTGATTTGTTCTTCTTAATGTTTAGCATCATCTGATCACACGATCTATTAAAACCCATCTACTCTGTTCACTGTCTGCCCACCTCCTGGCCCCCACCAGCACAGAGACTTTATCGGTTTTATTCCCTGTTGCTTTTCAGGGTCTGGAAGAGTGAGCACCTGCCGCATAGTATTCATGTATCACAGTTAAGCATCCCTAATCCGAAATCCAAAAGGCTCTGAAATCCAAAAGTTGTTAAGCACCAACAGAATCTGCAATTCCACACCCAGTCTCACGTGATGGGTCGCCGTCAAAACACAGGGGCCTAAAAACATTGCCCAGCGTTAACTTTGGCCTGTGTGTATGTGAAACATACATGAATGTTGTGTTTAGACTTGGGTCGCCTCCCCAAGTATGTGTATATGCAAATATGCAAAGAGTCCAAAAGGAGACTGAATCTGAAACTTGGAAGCACTTCTGTCCCAAGCATTTCAGACCAGGGATCCTCAACCTGCAGGAGTCATTACTGAGCCGAGGCACGTGGGTTGAATAAGTGCTCTAAGGAGCCGCCTCCCCGGGCTCGGGCACACCTCTCCTGAGTTCCCCTGTCGTACTTTTTAATGCAAGCTCTTCACTTTCATTGAGACTCACCCCTCTCCAGCGAGACTCCCCTGGACTCCTTGACCACAGAGCCTGGGCCCTACCCATTTGCCTCCCTCCTGGGCCCTCTATCAATCAGCCCTTCAGGGCACCCAGAATGTTGTCAGTCCCTAAAGACACATGTAAAGGACCATCCTCTGTCCTCACTTTCATTGATGCAAACACTGCAGGGGGCAAGTTTGAATTTCACCAACATCAGTAACACATGCTCATAATCGTATATCGGAGACAGCATTGAGTTCTGTCAAGTTTAAACAAAACCAAGACCCCTGAAGCCCGCGGGACCCCCACATTAGCTACAGTAGCTATCTGCCATTTTGCCAGTCGAAGGGCTGAACAAATTAGTGAGGTCACCAGTGTAATCCGACCATGTCCTGGTTTAAATCATGCTCCCGATCAGCCAGGAGCTACTTCTGCACAAGATGGAGCGAGGAAGAATGTTCTTGAATAAAACATTGGAATCTGGGGCAAGAGACATTGTCTTGACTCCCTTCAACAGTCTGGAGGTAGACGCTAATATCATGCCCAATTTGCAGATAAGAAAACTGAGCTCAGGTCGCCACACATTTTTGGGAGGTGGGGGCACCAGGGATTGAACTCAGGGGCACTCAGCCCCTGAGCCTCATCCCCAGCCCTGTTTTGTATTTTATTTAGAGACAGGGTCTCACTGAGTTGCTTAGGGCCTCGCTGGTGCTGAGGCTGGCTTTGAACTTGCAATCCTCCTGCCTCAGCCTCCCAAGCTGCTGGGATGGCAGGTGTGCACCATCATGCCCAGCAATGCCACGCTTCTTAAGGGCTCAAGTTCACGTGGGGAGTAGGGCAATGCAGCTGGGACTCAAACTGGGCTCTGCCTGCTTCTAAAGCATGGGCTACTTGTAGCCAGCCCTCTGCCCAGCCCCCATCCCTGCCAGCCTCCCCTCCCAGCCCTTGGCAGGACCCGAGCCTGTGCCCATTGCTTTTAGAACAGAGAGCTCGGAGCAAAGGCCACCTCTGAGTTCTGCCTCCAGTGCTGAAAATTGAAACAGCTTGGGAAGCCTTCAGCCTGGCTGAGTCCTGGCCGCGTCCCTGTCACCTAATTACTTGACTTCAAAAGCCTGCACGCGGCAGGGGCAGGTGCCAGGTGGGAGGATGTGAAAGTTGCTATTCCCCCACCCCCACCCCAGAACATGGTGTCACTAGATACAGATAAGCCGGGGCAGCAGGCGTACAGGCCTGACCCAAGGACCTGGCCTTGTGTCCCTTGGGGTCAGAAAGACCAGGGGCCACCAGAGAGACCAGGTCCTCCGAGGCTCAAGGGGGCAGGGCAGCTTCAAAAGGCCAACGCGTGGTAATTACCGCCCCATCTCCCTTAGACCTGGATCTTAAGGCTTCTCAGGGGCTGGAACTAATTAATCCTCCACACAACCCCAGGAGGGGGAGGCCAGCCCTACCGTCATCACTCAGGTCAGACCACCAGGTGGGGGTGAGGCGGAGAGTGAGCTTGTCCCATCTTGGGGCAGGGAGGCAGGGAGGCCCGAAAGGTCCCAAGTGAGAGTTCCCCGCCTGGCTAGGTAAGAAACAGCAAAACTGGAGAAGACAGAGGGGTTTCTAGAATCTTTTAAGCTGAGTGGCTCCTATCCAGCAAACGGAGGCGTGTCCACTTGAGACTTTTACGGACATGGAATGTTGCTGGCTAGTTTGTAGAAATTGGACCTGAGGGGGTCTTTGGTTCAGGTTTATGGAAGAAGAGGCCCAGGAAGGTTCTGGTAATTTCTTACAGAGGACAGAGCTCTGAGCCAGCGCTGCGCTATGTCCTGTCTGTTGATTGACTGGATGCTCGGCATTGCCTGAGGCAGGTATAATTGTATTCCTTTCATACGGGGGACAAAATACTAGGGATGGAAAGGAGAAATGACCTGCCCAAGGTCATACAGCTACACAAGTGGCAGAGCCCGGGTTTGAAAGCCGTTTCATCAGGTGCCACAGAGCCCGTCTGGTGTCACAGTGTTCTCTTGCACCTTTCCCTAGCTTCTGGAAGTCATGCCCTGGAATAAGCCGAACCAGAGTTAGGGAGTCTGGGTTTGAGTCTTGACTGCTACTTCCTGGCTGCAAGTTTTCCTTGTGGAGGCTCAGCTTTCACATCTGTAAAATGGAGAGAAGTGGAACGCTCCAGAGAAGTACCATGAGGAGAAAGAATAGAGGTGAGAAGGACTTGCAAACTCCAACTCAGGGATCTGCAAATTATAGGACCAAAGCCCGTCTGTAGCCTGTTTTTATAAATAAAGCTTTATTGGGATGGATGCGTTTGTTATGTCTATTTGTTTCTGCTTTTGAGCTGCAGGGGGCAGCGTTGAGCAGTGGCAACAGAGACCGTGCAGCTGCAAAGTTAAAACATTTACCATCTGGGCAACTAGAGAAAAGGCTTGTCACCCCAGATCTTAGACGCTATTGAAACTACAAGGTGCCACCGTGCCCCGGCACACAGCATTTTGCATTTCTACCATCTTCCATTAGCTCTGGTCCTTTCTCACAAGTGATCCCTCCTTGTCCCTGTCCCCAAATTTACAGAAGTGCTTTTAAGACCCATTTCCGAAATGCAAAGCAAACAACTCTTACAAGAATTAAAAAACCACACTCCTATAAGCAATGGCGGAAACCAATATGGTCAGGCACCGGGAAAAGTCACCGCAAGGTGCAGTCACTTACTTGCAGTTTTTACACTTGAGGCCAAAAAGCATTCCCTTCCCACAGACTGTACATGTCTGAGACATCCAGTACTTGGTGGAAAACCTGTGAAAGAGACAGAAATGATCTTAGTGACTGAGCCATCTCTAGCAGGGTGAACTACTTGGAGGGGCATTGCAGGGGCCCTAGATCCTAGTCCCGCTTCTTCCAACATAGGTGACTTAATCAAATTGCTGAGACTACTGGAGCAGTCTCCTTATCTGTAAAGTGGGGTTCATAATGGTATTGGCCTCACAGGTTATTGAAGGAGGCAAGGCTTCACTCAGCGTCTGGCACAAAGCAAGGGCTCAGTAGATTAGGTTACCTTGGACATTCATAATGGTCATTTGTTCCCTTGACAAATATTGCCTGGTAGCCTACTATGTGCCACATTCACTTCTAGGACAATGGATGGGGCTGGTAGGATCCTCAGAGAGTCACAAAGCCAGGTGGGGTCTCCCTAGGAGTCCACCTGAGCTAGTCTCCATTACTGCTAAGAACATCACCCGGGGAGCTTCAGGGCGCCCTACCTTCCCCAAAGAGCTGAGGCCCCAAACTTTAGTAGCAGAAAAAATCTCTCAAGGCAAAAGCCTTTTAAGACCCTCAGCTCACCTCCTTTTTGCTCCCCTCCTACTTATGCCAAAGGCGAGAAGTTTGGAGCGCTCCCACATACCGGTTCCCGGGTTGGAGGAGAGGGCAGTAGGTTAACTCCCCGGGCCCCGCCCCCATCCTGCCAGGTGCTTTCTTCCCTGAGATACGAAGCGGCAGCAGGGCTGGGCCCGGGGAAGTATTGAAGGTTGCCAGGTCACAGTTAATTTTAATTTTCAATTTGTGCCACCGTCGGCAGGAGTCGTATCTAATCTCCACCACTCTGTGGAGTGTCAAAAGGAAAATCGGAAGTGATTATATAACTTGGAGACAGAATTTTGAGGGAAAGGCTGTCTCGGTCTGCTGTCCCATCTTGCCCCATCTGGGTCAGTCCCTCTCCAAACAGAACCAGCCGCAGACCAAAACCTCCATATCTAAGCAAATAGCAATCTTCGGAGCAAGACGCAGATTGCCAAGAACGCATCCCTCTCCAGTTTTTGGATTTGGGGGGTTGTTTGGGCCCCTTTGGTCCCCTCAGGAGGCCAGGGAGTTAAACAGGGTCCGTCTGCAGGACATGGCAGCCCCGGGGGATGATGTGCTTCACCCACCAGCTAGACACAGGGGAAGGGGGCAGGGTGGCTGGTGGCCGTCTTTTCTCCTTTTCAGCCCTCTCCTGTCCCGAGGGTCAGCTCTCCCTATTCCCCAGCTGTGATTCCTGATGATAGGAATGGGGTTTTAATGTCACCTCTTCATCAAGGCTGGGGTGAGTTCAGTTTCTTTCTCCTGGCCTGGTGCCCCAGGGAGGAACCCAGGAGGAGAGGAGAGTAACAAGTCATCCCCGGTCCCTAGGAAGGCTAGGAAGTTGGTCACCATACCCAAGATTATCAGGTCGCTTCCCTCCTTCGGGAATCAGCATCTGAAGCTGAGATACTACCGGGTTCCAAAATTAGGGGGAGAAAGTCTGGGAATCGGGACTATCCAGGGGGCAGAGCGGAACCAAGGGCGTGGTCAATCCAGGGGTGGAACTAAGCCAGAGACATGGCCAATCCAAAAGAGGAATTGAGCCGGGGCGTGGCCAAACTAAGGGTGTGGGCCAATCCAGGGATAGTGAAGTCAGGGGGTGTGGCCAATTAGAGGGCGGAGCCAAATCAAGGGTGTGGCCAATCCAGGGATGGCAAAGTCAGGGATGTGGCCAATCCAGGGGAGGAACTGAGCCAGGGGCGTGGCCAGTCCAGGGATGGTACCAAACTAAGGGTGGGCCAATCCAGAGATAGTGAAGTCAGGGGTGTGGCCAATCAGTGGGCGGAGCCGAATCAAGGGTGTGGCCAATCCAGGGATGGCAAAGTCAGGGATGTGGCCAATCCAGGGGAGGAACTGGGCCAGGGGCGTGGCCAGCCCAGGGATGGAGCTGGGCCTGAGAACAGCGACACAGACACAAAAGCCCTGGTCTTGAATTCTCCTCCCGGCAGCTCACAGCCTGGCCCTTGACCTGTCTGTCACCTAGTTCTCACTGCTCCCTCCAATCTTTTCTCTTTCGAGTTCTAACAACTATCCTGGCCACACACTTCTTTCAAAAACTGTTGACAAGATGCCGTTCAGCAGGAGTGCTCATTCCCACCTAGTCCCGGGCAGTGTGTGGCACCTGGTGTCCCTCCCCGAGCCCTGGCCCTTCAGGGTCTGTGCACTGACCCTCCCCTGGCAGCTCCCAGGGCACAGGCCTCCCCAGTGCTGCCAACCTCGCACAGAAACCCTATAAATGCGAGGGGAGGAATCATGAATGAGTGACAACGTCCTTCGGCTCATGCACAGAGGCCCTGGCCCAGAAATCTCTCAGCGGCGTGTCCAGGAACACAAAGCGCCGAGGCTCATTAGCTTTTAGGACCGTGACTCAATTCTCCAGGGTCTCCGTTTCCTCATCGATCAAATGGGCCTGGCCATCTCTACTCCACTTACCCGGCTGACTTCCTGAGGGGATTATGAGGATGAGGAGCCCAAATGTGGAAAGTCAGATTTAGAAAGTTGAAGAATTTCTTATAAAGAATGACTCATAGATAAAATGACTAGATGACCAGACCTCTCCCCCAAAGGGCAGGTTATGATCCCAGAGGAGAGGTCCTGTTGACCCAGCAGGGCTGCGGCTCTGGGACAAAGTGTCCCTCACAGACAGGGAGCACAAATGAATTCAGCTTGCAATCCTGTGTTTTCTGGGTGAGGAGCCCCCAAATCAGGACAAAAAACATTTACCTTAACAATAATACCATTTACTGTTTCTTATGTATTTTTAACAACTATCATGTCAACATACTTCTTTCAAAAACTGTTGACAAGTTGCTGCTCAGTGAAAACTTTACATAGATCACATATATTTCATTTTCATAACCACCCTATAGATGAGCAGAATTATCAGAAAAAAAAATGGAGTCTCAGAGAGGTTAAGTAACTTCTTTGAGGTTGCAAAGCTTTACTAATTGGGATTGGAACATGAGTCAGTCTGACTCCAGAGCCCTGGCACTGTGTGGGAATTTGATCAGGGTAAGGTTAACCTTCGTCCTCTGGTTGCCATTTAGCAGACAGGGGGCAGGGTGCTATAGGAGCTGGGGCACAACACTCTGCCCTGCCTTCGGCCCTTCATGGGCCTGGGAGGTGGTACCCAAGCACTGGGAACCCAGCCTACCTGTGCTTGATGGAGTTGCCGAGGTCTCTGCGCGGGATCTGCGGGGACCAGCGCGGCACTGACAGTGTGTCTGCAGGAGAGAAGAACAGAGAGAAAGAGCCTGTTACAGCAGCTCAGAGGCTGGGGCGGACTCTGGTCAAGGCCCGGAAGGACACCAACTGCCTCCACTTGCTAAACCAGGCTGAGCAGGACCCTGGTTTGGGTTGTCACCTCAGCCAGTGCAAGGTCCCCTGGGCAGGGCAGCCAGAAAGTGCCTTTAAAGAAACTGCCTGTGGGAAGAATCACTTTGGCATCCCCCCCATTGACAGAGCACTTAGCCTGTGCCACATGTGCCAAGTGACTCAAAGGACTTAGCTGGCCATGCCCTCCAAACAACCCCAGCACGAGGGGGCTGGCATGCCCTCCACACAGGTCGGGGAGCCAAGGCCTGGAGAGGGCCACACTGTGTGGGCTGCACAGCACCTGGGGACCCAGGTCTGAGGGACCCCGGGGCCCAGGGCCTTGCCACGTTGCAATGCAGGAGATTACAGACACCTGTCAATCATGCTATGGATTTCTGGCGTCCTCTTACAACTTGTGCAATGATTAAGTTAGCATTGCAGGTCAAATCCATGTCTTTGTTTAAATATTTGTTCTTAAAGACAAACTCTACATGAAAAGCTATCTCTTTCTGTACATGGTAAGTGACATTTTAGACTCTCTAGCCAGGTGCCACCTAAGCCGTCTAGAATGAGTGAGTGGATGAACAAGTGGTGGGGGTGAGTGGGTGGACAGATGGATGGATGGATGATGAGTGGATGGATGGGTAGGTGGAGGGTAGGTGGATGGAAGGAAGGATGGATGGATAGATGGACAGATGAATGGTGAATGGATGGATGGATAGGTGGGGTGGATGGGTAGGTGGGATGGATGGGTAGGTGGGAGGGTAGGTGGATGGAAGGAAGGAAAGATGGATGGATAGATAGGTGGAAAGGTGAGTGGATAGAAGGAAGGATGGATGGATGGATGGGTAGATGGGATGGAAGGGTGGGTGGGAGGGTAGGTGGATGAAAGGAAGGATGGATGTTTGAATAGATGGATGGATGGATGGATGGATGGATGGACGGATGGATGGATGGATTGGTAAGTGGGAAGGTGGGTGGATGGATGTCTAAATGGATGGACAGATGGATAGGTGAATGGATGGGTTGGTAGGTGGGAGAGTGGGTGGAAGGAAGGAAGGACTGGTGGCTGACTAGGTAGGTGGGTGAGTGAGTGGAGGGCTGGCTAATGGTGGATGGATGGATGGATGGATGGATGGATGGATGATAGGAGGAAACTATAAATTATGTACCATGCAGACTTCCATTTCACACTTTAGGGTCAATCCGAGGGAAGTGCCCTGTCACTGTGCATGGAGTTCCAGGTCCCCTGCAGACCCTGTGCACCAGCCCCACCTCCACCTCCCTCCTACAGACCTCACGGGGCCCAGAGAGGTGCCAGACGACAGCAGCAATGAGCCAGTGCCACCTGTGAAGTCTCCCCCTGGTCAGGAGAGAAGGAGGAGGGGCAGCCCGGCGCCAGCTGTCACCTCTCAGGCCAGCGGGCGCTCCTGCTTGCCGGCCGCGGAGGCGCCTGGTTGCCTACAGCCATCGCTCTGGAGTGGCCCTCGGTGGGGAGCCGGCAGGTCGGGACCCGCAGGGAGCACTGAGCCCCGACCCACTCACTCCTCTCTTGTAATGACACGGTGGCACCCTCTGAAAGCTGTTTCCAGAAACCCCAGCTCTGCCCTTGCAAAGCTGGGGCCCTCTCTGGGAGAGCTAATGATCTTCCTGGACCCCTGAGGGCAGAGAAAACTCGCCAAAGAGACAGGCTGATGGATCGGTGAGCAGCGCAGCCTGTGGGATTTCCTCTAGTTTAACTAAGAACTAAATGTCATCAAGCTCCGAGTCCATTACTACTCATCTCTGTTCCCGAGGGAAGCAAAAGACAAGAAAGAAAAACAATTTTTTAAAAAGAGCTTTTTTCTCTTTTCTTTTTTTTTCTATTCCAACCTCCTCTGGGGACTAAAGTCAGATGTGGAAGGAAACACAGGGTCTGTTAACTCCTAAAGCTGGGCTGGAGAGGACAGGTTTGCCTCCTTATGAGGAATCCCCAAAACTTGGAGTGCCACCTGGGTCTCTTCTCAAGGGCCATGCCAGGTGACTGACGAGAAGGTTGTGTTGGGAAGGATTCTGAGGGGCCACAGGAAACAGCCCTGAGATTGATTAGCAATGGCTGCCTCAAGTGCAGACTGAGTGCCCACAAGTCTGCACACATCTGTCACCTCTGCAAAAGGAAGAACCACATCTCCATCTTCACGTAGGTACCTCGTATAACAGTGCAGAGAACCAGACACAAGTTTGCCATGTCCAAGATGATTATCATAGAAACACTGAGTTTACTGATCACTCAACAAGTGTCAAGCATGCATTTGATACCTGGAGATTGTGTCTCCGTGAAGTTGTTGTTTTTGTTATTTCCATTGGGCAAAGGAAGATAAAGGAGTTTAGAGAGGTGCGGTAACTTGACAAAGGTCACACAGCCAGACACTGGCCGAAGTAACTGCAATTGTTCAGAAGCTGCTAAATGAGTGTTCTCAACTGGAAGTTTGCTCCTTATGGGATATTGGATGACATCTGGAGACCTTTTTGGGTGTCACACGATGTACATGTGTTACTAGCAGGGTGAGGCTAGGGGTGCCGTTCAACATCCTGTACTATACGTGACAGACTCCACATAGGACAAATGTCAGCCATGCCAAGGTTTGAGAATTTCTGATCTAGATGTTTCTGTCTTCCTCTAGCTACATCCTCCCTGCTCCATGACTGTCCCTGACACACACGCGCACACACAATCACACACACACACACAAGCACACACACAGCTTGAGTTCCTAGAGCGCAAGTGAGCTTTTACTGTAAACACATCTCACTGCTCACTCTTAGATTCATATCCCACTTACTCTGTTACCCTCAATTACAACGCATTTTCCAAAAAGTAGCTGTAATTAAGTTTGGCAGTTTGGTTTAATTTCCCAATATCCAGTGGAGGGGGAGCTCTGTCAATTGCATTAGCGGCTGCAGCTTCATTAGTCTCCAGCCATCATCACCCCCACACCGCTTCCTGTGTGGGAGTGCAGCCTTGAACTTGGAGATTCTCTCTTTACTTTCTCTGTTTGGATTTTATTAAACTTGCCCAGGCAAGCCTTAAAGCAAAGGGAAACTGTTGAAAGGGAAGGATTTTTTTTTTAAAGCTATGAGAATAGACGCCTTATCATAACAGAGAAGGCAAACAGCATTTAGAGCAATTAAACCGATATAGAAACTTCGGTTTAACAATCAAAGCACCTATTAAGATGTCTCCGTGGCTATGTGAAAGCTTCTTTTCCACTCTAATTTTCTGATAACGAGTCGTGCAGACATGAAGGCAGGATTCGTTTTCATTTCTAGAGCTTGGAGAGGGAAGGGGGCGGGGGGAGGACTTGCACACACTTGCACAGGTGTGGCCTCGGAATAGCACAAGGAGCCCTGGTCTTTGAAATCATTCTGGAAGCCATGGAGACAAACAGAGGACCTGGCAGAAGGATCTGGCGGTGATAAGGCATCCAAACCAACACACTGCAAACTTGGGCTCTGAAATTAGACTAACAGATAAGGCAGGCTAGGGAAAAACACATCAGGGTGTATACAAAGACACCAGGTAAAACTGGTGACAAAAAAGCAAAGAAAGAGGAGAAGAAATAAGAAGAAAGTTGGAAATAAGGCCAGATTTTGGTTGAATGTCATCATGTACCAAGCCCTGTCATCAACCAAATCCTTTATAGGTCATTTCCTCAAATCCATGTACTGCACATATTATCTCATTTAATCCAAACAGGACAGTGTATGCCCGGAGGTAGTACGTCAGCCATTACCATTCGCCCTCATTTCACCCTTAGGAAATCATTGGTCTAGGACCAGTAAAGGCCAGAAGTGGGATTTTTAAATTCAGGTCACATGGCTTAATAAGCACCGCCAATTCCACCAATGTCATTCCTATTTCACAGAGGGCAACGCTGAGGGTTAAAAGTATTAAGCAATTGCCTCTAAGTGTCGAGGACTGAGTTGGGATTTAAACCACAGCCAGGAGCAAACTGGATGCTTCTAGTCCTACATCCTCCTACCTCTGTCTGGGAAGAGTAAAAAGAAGATAAATTCCAACACCATGTTCAGCCTTCAGAGACCAGGAGAGGCAAGAACCTGCATCTCTCCGCCAGCCTCAGAAGGCACCAGCTCTGCCCACACTGGCATCAGGATCCTGGAGACCCATTTTGGACTTGTGACTTCCAGAACTGTTAAGTAATCATTTGTGTGGTTTTAAGTCACGGCACCCCTTTGTTACAGCAGCCGGGGGAAACTCATACAGCACCTGTCTTGTGCCAGGCACGGTCTTAGGAATATACTGAACAGTATAATGAAATTTTCTTAGAGTCTAATGGGGAAATCAGAAGATAAATGAGTAGACAAAAAAGAGTTGTTTTAGGAAAATAAAATACTGCAGACTTTGGGGGTTGTTTTAAAGCCATGGGAATCTTGACCCCTGGATTAGAACAGGGACAGGAGGGTGTGCCACCCAGTGTGTTTAAGAGCTCCCTCTGGTGGCTAAGGGGAGAATAGCCCGCTAGGCTGGGACAGCAAACCAGGGGCAGGACCTCCCCACCTCCCCAGACCCCACCCTCCAACTCCCCACTCCCTGCCCAGTCCAGTGCATCATCTCCCACCCTTCCAAGGCCATTCCATCCCCCAGCCCAGACCGTTCCCCACTGTCCCTCATGACCCCATCAGTAGCCCCTAATCAAAAATCCACAACCACCCTTCACCCCATCCAGAGGCTCTTCTTGCAAAGCCTGTGCCATTTTTAGGAAACCCACAGGAGCCAGGCATGTTGTCATGTGCCTGTAATCTTAGTGGCTTGGGAGGCTGAGGCAGGAGGATTGCAGGTTCAAAGCCAGCCTCAGCACAAGCAAGGCACTAAGCAACTCAGGGAGACCTTGTCTCTAAATAAAATGCA